TTTAATCACCCAGTAAAAAGGCATGCATTTCAATGTGAAATGGGATTCTGCTACAGATTCAGAGGTGTGTGTGTGTGTGTGTGTGTGTGTGTGTGTGTGTGTGTGTGTGTGTGTGTGTGTGTGTGTGTGTGTGTGTGTGTGTGGGGGGAGAGGGAGAGTGGTCTCACAGTTTGTGCTAAAGAGAATGATTAATCCCAGCCTTTGATTCTGCATTCATCTAATGGGATGTTACAGTTAATTTGTGCATGTGCGTGCATCTGTAAAAGTGTGAGTTAGTGGGCACGTGCCTGGCTTATGCCCTGCAACACAAAGCAAGCATGTCAGCACCGGCTTGTTAATCTGCATGCATGCACTGTACTGCATACATAGATGTTTATATATATAAAAATATAAGTGTGCATGCAGCCATGTGCCTGTAGAGAATACACACTCGGGTCTGTGGGAGTGCAGAGTGAGTAATACTGGATCATTGGTAGCTATTTTTATGTGGAGTTTACGTTGGTACTCTCCGCTCTTAGCTGACCACCGCTGAGCGTTTTACACTGAGCTACACCGCCACAGTCCTCATACACTACGCTCAGGCTGCTCACACCACGCAGACTCATTCCCAGGAGCCTGGAAGTGACATCTCTTGTAATGTGTTGTGTAGTTTGGAGTGCTGTAATCTCCATGAAATAGACCTTTTTGAACATGCAAGGGAAACACTGGCTGTGATCAAGTGGTTAATAATAAGTTGGGAAACACTTGGATGACTTAGAATAGATGTACTGTAACCAATTACTATGTACGCGGTAAAAGCATTTTGTAAAGACTCACGCTGGTTTGAATATGTGCTTTAATTGAGAAGAGGTAGGTGTAAATCCTCAAATTTTGACCACTCTTGCAGTGATAATAACGTCTTTAAAAACAGCCTTTTTTAAATGTTTCCAGTTTTTAGTACCTACCTCGTATCCTGATTTGCTACCTGACAATACTATTTACCGTTGATTCAAAATGAGGTCTTCCTACATGTTCCCTTTGTTACACTTGGTTCTAATTTTCCAGGGTTTTCTTTGGGCTTAGTCTGTTGGTTTGCCTGTTAGCAACTACTGGCACTTTTTCCAGGAAACTTGGTGGAAGGGTGTAGCATCACCCAATAAGGAAGCCATTACATTTTGATACTCCTGAAACCTTTTACTCTTTTGCTCACATTGCAGCATGGGCATTTAAGGCATTCATTTTGGGTCAGACTAATTGGAAAATTGTGTTCCTGACTGGGACTAATCACGTAAACCTCCCCTTCAAATCTGAACAACAACTCTGGTACGAGGCAACATTTTTGGTACAAATTTCATCCACACAACACTTTCATTATGCGAAATGAGCTGCAGTATAAAAAACTATGCAAGCATAAAAACACAAATGCAAATGCACTAAAGAACTAAAACGAAAAGAACATAAATGTACTATTAGTTTTGACTTTGGCCTGCGCTCTCCGAATATTAACTTTTTTTTGGTTGGCTTTACCATTATTTCAATAGCTTTTATAGCTTTTACTCTCTTAAAATGAACTATTTTAGATGGTTCTAAACGTGTTATACCCAGGATACACAGTAAGATAAGTCAGTCCTGTACGCATGTTACACTCCCACACACATACACCTTGTCACATTTCTATACAAGAATGGGTTTATACCATCACTATGCATCTGAATGCTTTTCCACACTGGTAATGGGTAGCCTGGAGACACACAATCACACACTCTGATGGACCTTTACTGGCAGGCGTATCCTTAACACAATGTCCCTGGGCAGCACTTGTCATCCGAACGTCATGACTTCCTTCAACACACACTTTCATTTTTGTATTTTCTAACATCTCTACATGTTCTTTTTACACCCTCACACACACACACACACACACACACACACACACACACACACACACACACACACACACACACACACACACACACACACACACACACCTCTGTGAGTCGGTAACAAGGTTAATTTCTTGGAGAGTTTTTTTCCCCTGACACAAGCTTGTCTCTCTGCAATCGATCCTGGACCCTTCCTTCATTACATTTGTTTCTCTTTCCCTCTCTGCTTCTCTCCTATTTAGTTATTTTTTTAGGCCGACCCAGAAGTTAGCATTAGCATCAAGGGGTCCCACTTCAAAAAACAACAGGATTTTTCCCTTGTATTTTGCAATATTTCAGAACAAATATATGTTCAGCAGGATGATCTCCACCTATTCACACCACTCTTCAGTTTTTTTAAGTATAAATGTAACTGCCAGAAGTAAAATGCTAATGTTAGTGTCACCACCGCTAAGCTAAAGGCGGCTAATGTTTGGCGTGATGACGTTTAATAGCCTTTTTTAGTCCCTTGCTAGCAACTGCCGCTTTTAAGACACATTGGCTAGTGCGGTGTTTGTTGACGTATTTTATATTTATTTTGAAGAAATTCAAAAAAAAAAAGAAAGAAGAAATTCTCTCAAGCTTATGTTAAACGCAGATCTTATTTCAGGCATTTACTGTAAGCATTAAAAATAAGTTTGACTAATGGGGATCCTGATAGAGAAAGAAAGACTTTGGGACAAGAGAACTGGAAGTGGTTAAATGCGAACTCAATTCCTGGTTTTAGGACTCATTCCCGCGCAACTTTTTTCCCCCTGGACAGTAGAGTGTTTTAGAACATGGAGGCAGTGGACAGAGGGGCAGGCGGGTGTCAGATGTGGCTTACACCACAGTCTCTCCCCCTCACTCCCTTTCTCCTCATACTCATGGATGAGTGATGCCCATGACAGACTGCATCCTCTGAGAGCCCCTTCTGGCAATTACTACACACATACACACATCAGAGACTCCCACATCACTTAACCAGTTGTCTTCAACTAAATGGGCAGAGCGGAAACACTCAATGGCCTCTACTCATCAACCTCTCAACACGCTGCAACACACACACGTACAAACTCTCAGAGCCTGTTGTTGATGACTATCTTTACCTCTCTCTGCTTGTATTAATCTACGTGTGCCTCATGCATCAGTGAGATGGTGATGGGTCCTAAGCACTTAACCGGCTACCGTAGAAACAATTCTTTATTTTGATAACCAAATCAGCAATTGTCAGCTGCATGGGGATAATATCAGCTAGTTTGCAGGTTAAATGCTGTGTTTTCAGTAGCAGACACTAACAAATGTTGGAAGGTATTTGTGAACTTACAAAACAATTACCGGTAATCTTCTTTTCAGGGAAAATCATGTTGTGTGTCCACACTCATGTGATCAGTGATAATAAGAACAGGTTTGATTGGGTTTGGCCAACATAAACAATCTTCCAGGCTACTGAGTGCACAGTTTAACAACCGTACGGGTACAAAAACAGCAACTTGTGTTTTTGGTACACTTTAAGGAAAGAAACTAGAGGTGAATAGGGTCAATAAAATGCAAGTTAAGCATTGTCCTATTAAATGTGCGCTCATTTGCAACGTATGAAGCCAGTTTCAAAATTCTTATTTTCATTTCCTTGCCATCATCTTTTTACTAAGATCTTTTAAATATATATTGGTTTAACCACATACATCTGGCAATACTGTGAAAAAAACAATTAAGCAATGTTTTTTGGTATAAAATGTTCTATAATTCAGTCTTTGAATGATTAAATTATTAAAAATCTCCTCTGTAAAAACATTTGGCAAGAAGAGCTTGGTGTATATGAAGCATTATCTAATGCCACTATTTCTGTGAAATCTTCAAATGAACACAGTTAGTACATTTAACATCTAAATGTGTATTGTCAATGTTTCTTTCCAATAATCTGAGAGAAGATGTTATAGAAGCAAATCTCAAAACTCAAAAAATAGTGTACAAAATGTGAAGTGTGAAAATGCAGCATAAGAAAAGACTGATAAGTATTGTGTGTGTGTGTGTGTGTGTGTGTGTGTGTGTGTGTGTGTGTGTGTGTGTGTGTGTGTGTGTGTGTGTGTGTGTGTGTGTGTGTGTGTGTGTGTGTGACTCCTCTCCAGCCTGCTGTTCACCAAGGCGAAACTTCAAGAGGCCCTGTTTGGCCCGACAGTAGCCTTGCAGACCTGTGAGGAGATGCTGCAACACTGGCTCAGCCGCTATGATGTCAGCCGATCCAGGTAAGTGCCTGCATGACACACATGTACTGTAGGAATATGGTACAGTATTTTTATTGCTATGCATGATGAAAACTTGGGATTTCTGCTTTGGTATAGATTACCCATAGTGTGTTAGTGAATGTGTGTGATTCATTATTCAGAGTGTTTTTTTAAATGCATTCCTGTACTTGACTATTGATTTTTAAATCTTAAAGGGGACCTATCATGCAAAATGCACTTTTTGATGTCTTTTATACATAACTAGAGAATGCAATTCCTGAAGAAATTTCTAGTGGGAATGCTTTATGCTGAAAAGCCGACACTAAACTGCTATGC